AATGTTATAAGCAATCATTTTTATGAATGGTATCCTTTCATTCATAGCCATTCATTGAGTACTATTCTCATAGCTGTAATTGGCTATCACATGGAACAGATGCAGTGTGACTAGCCCTGTCTGTACCATGCGGTCGCTGTGTCCAATCACAGAAATCATCAGAATAGTACACAATGAATGCACAACTGTCATTTGATTGCTGTGACGAATCACAGCAATCACATGGTACCAGGGCCATCCTGGAACAATCTGTCAACCGCTGTATCCAATGGACGCAGCGGTTGACAGATCATGCTGCAGCGAGGCCCCTAGAGGGCGCATGAGGTGCATGACTGGGAGGATGTCATATGACCACCCAGAACAGTAGTGCTCCCGCTCAGCCATCATTTGCCTATAGGCCAAGCGAGCATCGGTTAAATTTAAAAAAAAAAGAAGAAGGATGCATTCCTAAATGCACAGAATATAACTATATAAGATAATGAGGCTATTAACAAGTAGTAACATCTCTGAGAATATTGATCCTCGGAATATCACTGTCTTAACTGATCAGGCAGGAATATGTTCCCCTGATGGAGCAAACTGTACCATATTTTACGGGTTTTTTTTCCTTCCTCTGGATCAACTGTGGTCACCGAGTTGTGTATATGGAAGCTTTCAATGTATTTTTTTCTGTATGAACTAGTCAGACTTTGTCTTTTTTTTAACCTATGTAACTATGTCGCTTTCTTGGATTTACCTCTTGGGATCCATGCATTCACTAAGATCCACCATTCTGGGGCCCATGCCACCTTTCTGGTTTTTCTCCCAGCCAACAGCTTTTGGGCAAGCTACAATGGTAAAAAAAAAAAAAAAAAAAAGTGAAATAAGAAGGGGTTAAGACCAACTGAAGTCAAATACTTAAGAAACACATTGTATGAGCAGCCTTCAATTAAAGTCTTACTTCCACTTTACACCTCTACCGTGACTGCATTCTCCTTTTTCACTTCAAAGAGAAGTATGGACTTTAAAAACCAAAAAAAAAACCCTTATACTCACCTAGGTGGATACCGCATTGATTCGATCCATGGTTCCGGATCTCTGTGGCTCGCTGAGAGGCTGACCCAGGTGCTGGTCCAGGCTTCTGACTAAATCCTGATCATATGGTCAGGATCTTTTTAAAGCATGGACCGGCTCTATGACTTCAGCTGGCAGTGGGCTTCAGCCAGCTGTCGGCTATACATTTCCTTTCAGTGATCACGACCTCGTAACAAAAGTCTCCCTGACTATGTAGATTAAATGGATGACTGTTGTCAGTAATTGACAAGCTACAGATCGCATGTATCCATTCAAATGATCCCCACCAACACTACAACACGCAATACTGTAACCCCCTTTTTGTGCATGCCTGTCAGCGATCCTCCCTGTTTTGTGGCTGCATTCTGCTTCCGTCCATGTCCACGTGTGCCCTGCAATTGCTGCTGCACTCCCCCCTCTTGTGTTGGCAGACACAATAAGGGAGAGTTACTAAAACTGGAGCTCATGAATTCTGGTGAAGCTGTGCATAGTAACCAGTTTCTAGGTTTTATTGTCAAAGCTTAAAAGTGGTTGTAACCACTTTACAACCACTCCTGTCCCTTTAAGGCATAATATATTACATAATGTTTCTGTAGTGTCATTTGTCCCATTCTATGTTGTACAATACCTGGTTGATCCTGCCTATTTCTGTGTCCCCCTAGGTGTTCTGACCAATGTATTAATGGCTGCTGATCCATGATACTGCGGTCAGAGTACATGCCTCCTGCTCTTTCCTCAGCATCTCTCTCCCTGTCAGTTCTGTAGTCTGTATGTGAGCTGATCTCCTCCCTGTCCCTCTCCTCTCCTCCCTGTGCAATTCTATGCCCTGAAGCTGCTTCAGTGCTTGTAAAGTAATGAAACATGTATTAATTACTCTGATTCTCTCTGTTTTAGGCCCCCGTCCAGTACAGTGTTTGTGTTTTCCTAAAACTATAATGCTAAATACCTTCTTTGCAGAGCCCTGCTGTGCAGACACGAGACCTCCCTCTGCCAGCTTGCATTCATCAGAGGGGAATCTCAGCCCCTTCCACTGTACACACTTATGTCAGGAAAGAAAGCAAAGGAAAGTCACATGACAGCACAGCAGGACTCTGCAAAGAAGGTATTTAGCATTATAATTTTAGAAACACACACACTGTACTAAACATGGACCTAAAACAGAGAGAATCAAAGTAAATAATACATGTGACTTTACAACCACTGAACAAGCTGAAGTTAGAAGCCAATTGGCTACCATGCACAGCTGCACCAGACTGAGTGCACCAATTTTAGTAAATCTCCCCCCCATAAGTTTCGGAGGGGACACAGAGCTAGGCAGGTTACAGCTGCAAGAGTATCAGTGACAGGTGGACAGCACACCAACATACTAAGGGTTCACTGGAACACTTTATGTTGCGCATAATGAGAGTGTTCTGATGTGCATTGTGCACACACGCTGCAATGCATTGTTACAACACTGTACAAAACCTTTTTTAAAAATGATTTAACTCTACAAGGTAGAATGTTGTAACACACGGCTGCACAGTGTAACGCACTGCATTGTGATAAGTATATGCTTGCATCATTCTATCACACTACACACCAACACAGTGCACACGTGGCACTGTGGATTTGGCATTACCACACTATAAAGTAAACCTCTAGGTCTGAATGCAGTTTTCACAGTTTTCTTTACCTTCAACTTGCAACACAGCAATTATACTGTAACATTTAAGCTCCAGTCACCTGATGCTGCCATTAAAAGAAGGCTTCACTCTCTATTATACATATATTTTGCATTATGCAGAGCCAACAGGCAGTATTGATGGGATAATCCCTCCTGCAGCACTACTGTGTTTTGCCGGCAGGAACCCTTCCCTGCTGTTAGAACACAATGATTACTGCCTGCTGGCTGGTTGTACTGAAGTCAATTGATGGACCGACTTCAGTACAAACATGGTGCCCATACATTGATCAAATCTCAGCCAGTCCCTGCTGAACTGGTTGAGATTTACTCACATAGTATCTGCCACTTACTGACTTGGTTAATTCGCAGGAATCCATCTGGAAACAAACAAATTAGTATACACTGGCCCATGGATTATACCTGTGCACAATATGTACTTATTTATACATTATTATTCTAGCCTCCCCAATCTATCTGCTGGTAGTACAGAGCTCTAGGAGTCACTCTGCACATGCTCAGTTTAGTGTGTATAGCTAGAGAGGTTTTTTTTCATTGTGATTGTGCATGTGATCAGCACAGGGCCAATTAGCACTGACAGAGGGTCAAGGGTGAACACGAAGACAGAAGTCACAAGACTGCTCTAACTGCTGATGAGAAAAGGTATTTAGCAGATTAGATTTACTAAAATAATTGCATTTCCGTGTACTGTGTACTGTGGGAGACCAGATATAGTGAATGCAGGGTCCTGGGTTTAGTAACAGTTTAGTAAATGTGTTTAATATTATAGACTGGGTTTTTTGCATGTCAGTGGGTATGGTTTATTATTTCTCAGGGCACACTCCTCTTTTGGGTCAGGCCTGATCTAATTGGAGCCAAAAGACCCTCTATAAGGCTACGTTCACATTAGCCTTGTCAGCAAGCGGCAGACAGGCATTTGGGAAGCATTTTTACCGTTTTCCAAACGCCTCAGAAATTTCTGCACATTGCAGCACATAGTGCTGTTCACACGAGAGCGTTAGCGTCGCGTCACGGCAAAACGGACGCCTCTGGTCGAGTCAGGAGGAGTTGAAGCCTCCTATTCAAGTCTATGGTGCTGCTCCGCAAACGCTCGGCCGCCGTTTGCGGTGCGGTTGCGAGGCGTTTGCGGAGCGTTAACACCATACAAACTTCGTTATAGGCATTTGTGGGGCATTTTTAACGCTTGGCAAACGCCTAACAACCACCGCTAAACCGCGCATACGACGTTTTTGGAGTGACCAACGCTTGTCAAACACTATAGGAGCATTTGGCAAGAGTTGGAAAAAAAGTCAAGTGTGAACGAGCCCTAAAAGGTTAAAGAGGATCTTCACCCTAGAGAAAAAAAAAAATAAAAGTCAGCAGCTACAAATACTGTAGCTGCTGACTTTTAATAAAAGCACACTTACCTGTCCAGGGATCCAGTGCTGTCCTCACCTGGGCTGGTTCTTCATCGTTCTTCAGGGGCCCATTGCAGACATGTTTACTGTGGGAAACCGGCTGTGCAGCATCACAGTCTGCTTCCCACTGCTTATGCATGAGCCGCATTGCAACGTGTGAATGGTCCCGCAGCCTTCTGAGACCTGTGACGTATCTCAGAAGGCTGCAGGCAAAGACAGCGGGGAAGAACTTGGCGATTTGAGCGTAAGGGGGAACAGCTACCTATCAAAACTAAGTACCCGCTCCCCCCAAAAATTTTAATGTGCCAAATGTAGTACAGGGGAGAGGGAGGAGGAGGGAGGAGGACATAAAGCAGAAATTCGCCTTTAGAGTGAAGTTCCACTTCAACTGAATGTATCTCAATAGTTTTTAATCTAGGCACACTAATCATATTTGCTGTGCTCTTCTGAAATATGAATTGTGAATGCAATGGAAATGTAAAAATGTTTAAGTTATTATAAAAACATGTACAGGTACAATAATAAAATCAAAATATGTCCTTAAAGCAGAACATTACCCTCCCCATCAACTTAATATCAATCTCCTCCAACAGAATTGGATAATTTAATTTCTGTGTTACTGGGGAAAATATCTTTTTAGGGGGATCCCTCCCTTCACTACCTTATTTCTGGCCTAGGTCAGAACAATATGTACAATGCCCGCAGCCTTTTATGATATCTACATCATGGGTTCCAGGTGTCCACGGGGTAATCTACGGAGCACAAGTAGTGCCATCAGGGGGCTGGACAGCTATTCATGGTTTTTACAGCCACCCTCCTAATGAAGCTTTGCAACTAAAGACTGGTAGCTTCACTGCACAATATTAAAGTGTTACTAGACCCACAACAGTAAAATCAGTCTGTATATGCAGTAAATCATGCTTGTTATTCTCACTGTAGAACCCAAGGGGTTAATCCTCTGCATTATTTAAAAAGGCTGTTTGTCTTCTTTGATTCTCCCCTTCTTCCACAGTCCTCAATCCATCTGCTGATAGTACAGAGCCCTAGCAGACATTCTGCACATGCTCAATTTGGTGTGTGATGCTAGTTTGTTTTTTTTTTTTGGGGAGGGGGGGAGGGGGAAGGTGCATCTGCAAAATAACACTATCCAGACAGAAGGTCAGCGGTCATGCAGCCCCATAGGACAGTCAGAGGAGAATGAAAACTCCTCCTACAAGATTAACCAGTGCTCAGCCGAACACCGATAAAAGTCACAAGGCTACTATATACTGCTGATGAGAAAAGGTATCTAGCAGTTTACATTTACTAAAATAATTGCATTTCTATGTTCTGTGTACTGTGGAAAACCAGATATAATGAATGCAGGGTCCTGGGTTTAGTAACACTTTAATCTACATAGGGGATTGAAAAAAGCTTGACTCTTAAACTAGATTCACACTATTGCAGGCCACATTTGCGTGGGCAGAGCAGCCTATTTGTTTGAATGGACTGCTGTGCTTGCATTTCATGCAGGAAAAAGGTTCCTGCAGCATATTAAAAACATAGCAGCTGGGAAATTATGGGTAATTTTACACCATGTGATTTCCCCGTCATTCCTGCACCTGCAAACGTGCTACATTTTTAGATGTGTGGGGGTGCTATTAAGAATAAATGGCAGCCCTGTGTGTTTTTAAAGAGCAACACGCTTTGGTGCGGAAATAACTGCGATTACCAGACCTGCAACAGTGTGAACCTAGCCTTGGTCAAGGCTTCCACATAAATTCAGCAGCCAATACATCTTCATCTACTAATGACTTTGACGTGTGTCCATACACACTAGGAACTGCAAGCAAATCGCACAGGAACTTTTAACTTTGAATGGGCCGAAATAGGACAGCACCAACAGTGCATGCACTACTTTTGGAAGCACACTGCAACTGGATCACATGGTATTTTTGTACCATGCATTCTGCTGAAGGCAAATGCACTGTGTTTGTGATCTGCGTTTGGGGTGTCATTAAATTTGCACTGACACCAGCTGCAGATTGCAAAGGGAGTGCGAGGATCCAGCACATAATGCAGGTTTCTTGCATGGTCCTCTAGTGTGACCCTACACTTTTTTAATCAATAGTTTGAAATGTCCAGGTTCATAAAAGATGAAAGCTCAGTCAGTTTATTCATGCAACCAATATCCTCTACACCTCTTATAACTTTAGTTGCCCTCAGTGCATGAGGACCGCTTATAATTTTGATTAGGCATCCTTTAAGTCAGGGCTTGAAATTTCGAGTCTAGACCTACTAGCCAGGCACAAACCTTACTCTCCACCAATTTCCCCACCCAACCTTGCCTAGGTCCGCCTCCAACCCCACACCCGGCCCGTCCCCTAACCCTGCCCGTCCCCCAACCCAACCACGCCCCCTTAAAGCTTATGAAATTACATTTTTCTTTAGAATAAAGAGTCCAAAATATAAAAATGTATACAGTAATGTATATCCCACCTCCCCTGTACTCCATTACAGTGATATGACATGTATACAGTAATCATTACTGTATACATGTCATATCACTATAATGGAGTACAGGGGAGCTGGGATATACTTACTGTATACATGTCATATCACTATAATGGAGTACAGGGGAGCTGGGATATACTTACTGTATACATGTCATATCACTATAATGGAGTACAGGGGAGCTGGGATATACTTACTGTATACATGTCATATCACTATAATGGAGTACAGGGGAGCTGGGATATACTTACTGTATACATGTCATATCACTATAATGGAGTACAGGGGAGCTGGGATATACTTACTGTATACATGTCATATCACTATAATGGAGTACAGGGGAGCTGGGATATACATTACTGTGTACACGTCATATCACTATAATGGAGTACAGGGGAGCTGGGATATACATTACTGTATACATGTCATATCACTATAATGGAGTACAGGGGAGCTGGGATATACTTACTGTATACATGTCATATCACTATAATGGAGTACAGGGGAGCTGGGATATACTTACTGTATACATGTCATCACTATAATGGAGTACAGGGGAGCTGGGATATACATTACTGTATACATGTCATATCACTATAATGGAGTACAGGGGAGCTGGGATATACATTACTGTATACATGTCATATCACTATAATGGAGTACAGGGGAGCTGGGATATACTTACTGTATACATGTCATATCACTATAATGGAGTACAGGGGAGCTGGGATATACATTAGTGTATACATGTCATATCACTATAATGGGGTACAGGGGAGCTGGGATATACATTACTGTATACGTGTCATATCACTATAATGGAGTACAGGGGAGCTGGGATATACATTAGTGTATACGTGTCATCACTATAATGGAGTACAGGGGAGCTGGGATATACATTAGTGTATACATGTCATCACTATAATGGATTACAGGGGAGCTGGGATATACATTACTGTATACGTGTCATATCACTATAATGGGGTACAGGGGAGCTTGGATATACATTACTGTATACATGTCATATCACTATAATGGAGTACAGGGGAGCTGGGATATACATTACTGTATACATGTCATATCACTATAATGGGAGTACAGGGGAGCTGGGATATACATTACTGTATACATGTCATATCACTATAATGGAGTACAGGGGAGCTGGGATATACATTACTGTATACATGTCATATCACTATAATGGAGTACAGGGGAGCTTGGATATACATTACTGTATACATGTCATGGCACTATAATGGAGTACAGGGGAGCTGGGATATACATACTGTATACATGTCATATCACTATAATGGAGTATAGGGGAGCTGGGATATACATTACTCAGTAATGTATATTCCAGCTCCCCTGTACCCCATTATAGTGATAGGGCATGTTGTATACAGTACTTACTCCTAGTCCCTCCAAATCCCCCGTGGCGGAGAGGGTGTCTCCTCTCAGCGGAGGAGAGCAGACCTCTCCTGCACCTGTCCCCTCAGCGGTGCCGAAGAAGCCGCAAACCGGAAGTTGGAAACCGGAACTCGGCTTCACAATGAGGCTTGGAGCGCAGCCGCACCATCATCTGTGCTCGCCGCTAAAGAATTTCTCCTCGCATTTGCGAGCGGCCGAGCGGCTTTTTAAAGCCCTGCTTTAAGTCATACATATTCACAAGGTGAGTTTACATTCTTATCTAGCAGGATGATAATTTTTACTGAGGTCTTGGATGAAATAAGTCTACCTTCATTCTGTGTCACTTGCGGCAGTTTAATTTCAAAGCTGATACTGTGCTTTATATCCCTCTCCCCTTGCAGAGTCCGGTCTCGGAGGCAGATGACTTCAATGGACTGAAGGTGGCTGCCCCTGGAAATGAAAAAAAAAACCCTGAAAATTAGAACACAAAAACCGAATCAGCGGAATAGATAATAAATTCTCTTGCAGCTTTATTTTAACAGTCTGAATAGCTTGAGATTTTTTTTAACAAAATCTTTTTTCCTTTTCTTTTAATTAGATTGAGGAAAGTAATATAGCACTGAGACGCCTCTATTAATCTGATGATTCCAAAGACATGAATGAATCTCTGAGAAAATAAAAAAGGTGTTATTACTTTTTTAGCACATGCCTGAGATTGAATATTATATTGCAAAACGTTCAACTTTGCATGATACATAAATGATAGAACAATTTGTGTTCCAGGTGACACTGACACTAAAAGATAAAAAAAATTGTCCGAAATTCTGTTACGAGATAAAACAATGTCGTAATTCAAAAGAAAAACCAAGCACAGTCATGTACAGGCTCCATAATACACATCTGGATGATGTGCCATGTGTCATTCATTACGTTAAAGCAGTATTAATCCCAAAAGCAAGCATTTATTATATTGCAGCTTGCCAATTCTTAGATGTGATTGCTGCATTTGTTTTTTTAGGCTTTCTTCTATTTTCACCTGGTGATTCCCACAGCTGTTTTTCAGAAGCTCAAACTCTCCAGTAGAATGTATCAGTTTACATGGATGAGACGATTCATTTAGCACTGGCAGGGGTGATTAACATGATCAGCTTTTATGTATCCATGTTAAACCTTTATCTAAAGAGGGAAAGAAATGTTTGCTGTGATTATAAAGTGTTGACTGGAGTTTGGCTTCTATTTATTCAGCCAAACTCCAGATAACACTTTATAATCAGACTGACACCCCCCCCCCCCCCCCCTCCAAATTCGAGTGTCTGCTGTGTCCTGTACTCATTACTCTAGAGTGGTGTCTTACTAATACAAGAGGTATGTTAGTGGCCTGATCACGAGGTGAAAACAGAATGAAAAAAGCCAAAGACAAGATAACTAATGCAGCCACCACATTTAATGATTAGTAAGATACAATATAATACATTTTTGGTTTTAGGTTTAATTCAACTTCAACAACTAACTGAACCCTTCAGACCATGTTTTATTGTATACCTAGATTTATGGTGTAACAAGAAACATGGTCAGCGAGCATAGGCTCCCACTTATATGCCTGTGCAGTTGTTCTCCTTGCTGGCTTCTGTCAAATTTGAATATGTCAACAGATGGAGTGTATATTTTAAGGGCTTGCAATGACCTTTAAAAGGTAAAAGAAACTAAATGTAGGGGCTGCCATTGCTGATATTTTGAAGATCTTTTGGATTCACCACAAAAAGGTATGTGAATCAGGTACTCTGCATTCTGCAGGATTTTTCAAGGTTAGTGACTAATATTTAGCAGAAGACCCTTTTCACCTAGGACAAACTACTATATGCTCTACAGTAGTGGTTCTCAACCTGTGGGTTGCGACCCCTTTGGGAGTCGAACGACCCTTTGACAGGGGTCGCCTAAGACCATCAGAAAAACATATTTCTGATGTGTAAAGAGCAGCTACTGTGTTGAAAGCAGCTACTGTGCTGAAAGCAGCTACTGTGCTGAAAGCAGCTACTGTGCTGAAAGCAGCAGTATTGGAGGTAAAACGACACTCATGAATTATAATTACTGGGTAAATAATGTTATGGTTGGGGGTCACCACAACATGAGGAACTGTATTAAAGGGTCACGGCATTAGGAAGCTTGAGAACCACTGCTCTACATGATTTATACAAGAACTGGGTTAGTGATGTCCTTGTAACTTAAAGTGTTACTAAACAATGCATTCACTATACAGTTTCTGGTCTCCCACAGTACACATGGAAATGCAATTATTTTAGTAAAACTGCTAAATACCATTTATCATCAGCAGTTACAGCAGTCTTGTGACTTCTATCAGTGTCCAACAGAGAACATGTTAAAGCTTGTAGGTGGAGTATTAATTTTGCCCTAGGAGGATGCAGAATCCCTGACCTCTGTCTGGACAGTGCTGATTGGCCCTGTGCTGATCACATGCACTCTCCCAAGTAAAAAAAAAAAACTCTAGCAATACACACCAAACTGAGCATGTGCAGAGTGATTCCACACGATATGTCTTATCAGGAGATAAGAGGGGGACACTGGAAGAAGAGGAGGATCAGAAAAATCGGCATCAAACAGCCTCTTTACACAATGCAGAGGATGAATCCCTTAGGATCCACAGTGAGTATAACAAGCATGCTTTACTGAGGGGGTCAGCAACCAGTAGATCTCAGCCAGTTCACTGGTAGATCACTGCCTGGGCATGCTGACCCGCCATCCCAGAGCACAATGTAGAGTGACTACTTGTAAAATCGCTGTAGTAGGGAAAAAGAGCCGCACAAGCCAATGCCTCCTCTGTAGTGCTGGCTCCTGTCCCATTCAGAGTGATACCAACTGCACTCCACCTCTTATCCCGGCTAACGGTTTTGAGAGTGGTGCCAGAAGCAGGAAAGACGAGATCTTCAGGTCAGTGTGAAGCAATACACTGGGCATAATAGCATGCCCGCAGATGCAGTGCAGTGAACCTGTAGCTTTCCTACGGGTTTGCTGTGCTTAGCTATAGACTATTATTATATCCTGCTCATTTGGTGCACTCTGAAAGTGTACCAAAACTCCTGAAAGTGTGTTTGACAGGTGGTGAGGAGGCGATATGTTGCCACCTCACCACCTCTTTTAACCACTTGCCTACAGGGCACTTATACCCCCTTCCTGCCAGGCCAATTTTCAGCTGTCAGCGCTCTCACACTTTGAATGACAATTGCACGGTCATGCAACACTGTACCCATTTTGATAATTTTTTTTGAGACAGATAGAGGTTTCTTTTGGTGGCATTTAATCACCTCTGGGTTTTTTATTTTTTTACTAAACAAACCAAAAACAGCTGAAAATTTTGAAAAAAAAAAGTTTTTTCTTAGTTTCTAACTACTCTAAAATTGCTTTTATTTAGCATGTAGTATATATTAAAAGATGAGAGGGTCAATCAAGAACAAAGCAAAAGGATCTCTTTAACCACTAGCCTACAGGGCACTTATACCCCCTTCCTGCCCAGGCCACTTTCCAGCTTTCAGCGCTGTTGCACTTTGAATGACAATTGTGCGGTCATGCAACACTGTACCCATATGAAATTTTTATAATTTTTTTGTGACAGATAGAGCTTTATTTTGGTGGTATTTAATCACCTCTGGGGTTTTTATTTTTTCTTAAACAAACCGAAAACCACTGAAATTAAAAAAAAAAAAAAAAAAAAAAAATCTTAGTCTTTGTTTTAACATTTTGTAAATAAGTGATTTTTCTCCTTCACTGATGTGCGCTAATGAGGCTGCAGTGATGGGCACTGATAGGCTGCACTGATGAGGAGGCACTGGTAGGTGGCACTGATGGGCATTGACAGGCAACACTGATGGGCACTGATTGGCAGCACTGATAGGCGGAACTGACTGCCATTGATAGGCGGCACTGACTGGCACTGAAAGGCAGCTCAGATCGGCACTTCTATGTGGCATTGATGTGCACTGGTAGGCACTATGTGGCACTGATGGGCACTGGCAGGTGGCATTGATGGGCACTGGCAGGTGGCAGTGCTGGGGCTACACTGATCATCAGGGCACACTGATCATCATTGCCCTGATGATCTGTGTACATGTCCCCTCTGAGTAAAGCCGATTACCGACTCTCCTCTCCTCACGAGCTGTCAGCGTGACAGCTCATGAGGAAAAAAATGCCGATAACCGGCATTTCCTTATTGACATGTGATCAGCTGTGATTTGACACAGCTGATAACATGACAGAGCTGACGCCTTCGGCTCTTTCCGTTGATTGGTGATCCGTTGTGTACCAGGGACACAGCGCACCACCGATCGCCATGCTGCGCATCCCCAGTGGTGCGCACGCGCAGTTAGAGTGGAAGGACATCATATGACGTCCTCCCAGAACGAGAGAACCACCTTGCGTCCATCATTTCCTTATATGGCAGGCGGGAGGCGGTTAAAGCCATGATTGCCATGCAATGCACAGAATTGTGACACTGTAGTACTGCAATCAGAGGTATAAATCAGGTGTGAGAAGGTGACACTGAGCGACACTGTGCCCAGTAATCTTTGACTCCTATGTTGTTTAGGTAGATTTCCACCTCTTTAAGGTTGCTTGACTACATATACATACTGATTTTACTGTTGTGGGTTTAGTAACACTTTAATTGATTTCAGTTTCAGATTTAAAGCAGTATTAAAGCCAAAACCAAAAATGTATCATACTACAGCTTACCAATCATAAGATGTGGTGACTGCATTAGTTTTCTTTTCTTTGGCTTTTTTCCCTCTGTTTTAACCTGCTGATCTGGCCATTAACATAACTCCTGTACACGGGCGGACTGACCATTTGGAAACTCGGGCACTGCCCGAGGACCCGGGCTCAGTAGGGGGCCCCATGAGATGCCCCTGGTACCTTTTTCATAGGCTTTTTTGAGTTTGGGCAAGGACACAGGGGCCCCATGATCCCCTATTGCCCGGGGGCCCCATGAGTTGTCAGTCTGCCCCTGCTCATGTATTAGTGAGACACCACTTTGAAGGAATGAGAATATGAGGCACAGCAGACAACATTGTCAGTCTGAGGGGGAGGTTAAAGATAAATGTATTAGCATATTTAGCATCACTAACAAAATGAAGCCAAACTCCGGCTCACACTTTATGAGATGCAGCAAATAGTTTTTTTCCCCTCTTAGGATAAAGGTTTTGCATGAATAAAAACTGATCATTTTAATCACTCATGCCAGTCTTAAGTGGTTTGCCTTATTTGTGTAAGCTGATACATTCTACTGGAGAGCTTGTACTGTGAAAAACAACAGACTAGCTAGCTTGATTGCCAGATAAAAATAAAAGAAAGAAAGCATAAAAAAAGAAAACTATTGCAGCCGTCACATCTAAGAATCGGTAAGCTGTAATAGAATACATTTTTGCTTTTGGGTTTATTGTTGCTTTAACAAGCAAATTTCACGATGACAAGTTTGGAATTAACAACAGGTAAATAATATTTCAAAATATAAATAAACGTTTTAAGGGGCGCTAAAAACAGTCACTATGGAAATAGCCAAGAAATTATTTCCATACAGCATAGGTCACAGTCCACAGCCATGAATTTTGTTCTGTTCTCACAACAAAAAATATTAAGTACTTTAATATTCAGTCCTTCAAATCCTTCATGGCAGAGCAGAATTAAGGTTATGCATTGTAATTTTCTAAAGGGAATTTTTAATGACTAATGCAGACAACGTGCTTTGTTTCAGAACTCACTGCTTTGTTTCAGCAAACATGTAGGGCATCTATCCACACAAAGCGTTGAAAGACTTGGCTGTCCTTGTGGAACAAAACATCAAAATTTTTAATTTTTTTTAACAAAACTGCAACCTTGCTCTTGTATGCATGCTGCATTTTTTTCAGTGTTTGGTTGATATGTTTTTATATATAACAGTGCATTAGTACAGCTAGCATTCGGCCCGAAAAACATAGTGGGTACATTTTGATAACCCTAGTATTAATCACTTGCCCTTCAGAGGATTTAACTCCTTTCTGACCAGGCCATTTTTTGCTATATGGCACTGCGTTACTTTAACTGACAATTGAGCGGTCATGAAACGCTGCACATAAATGAAAAATTTATGTCCTTTTTTCACTCAACAAAGATAGCTTTCTGTCAGTGTTATTTGATCACCTGTGCGTTTTTTTTTTATTGTGCTATAAACAAAAAAAACGAGAATTAAAAAAAAAACACATTTACTTTTTGCTATTAAACATGTCCAATAAAAAAATGTAAAAAATCAAATCTTGTTGTAAATTTAGGCCAAAATGTATTCTGCTACATCTCTGTTAAAAAAAAATCCAAATACGTGTTGATTAATTGGTTTATGTGAAAGTTATAGCGTCTACAAATGGCGGTATATATATTGGAATTTTTATTTTTCTATACTATTAATGGCAGCGATCAGCAATTTATAGCGGGACTGCGGCGGACATTCTGACACTGGGTGGGAACTGCCACGGACATCCTCAGTGACACGAATACAGTGATTAGTGCTAATAAAAAGCACTGACACTGTACTAATGGCACTGGGCAGGAAGGGGTTAACTTTTGGGCAATCAAAGGGTTAACCTTGTGTGCAGTTTTACTGGGGAGGCATGCTGTTATGCATTTCTCTGCTGTGTAGAGAAATACAAAACCGCATGTCCTTGCTGGCAGGAGAGAGACCTGGTGTCAGGGCTGGAGCGGTGGAATGGTCAGGCAGGCCTTATGGTAAGGTCATGCACCGACTGGCGACAGCCTCTGGTGACCCACAGACCGGAGTCCCTCAGGGTGTGGAGTTTAAGCCCCAGGCTGCCCTTCACCAGGGCCCCTGATGGTGGGGATGGACTTGACACAGCCTGAGACCAGGTCGCGACCCCCGAGTAACCCCAGCTGCGGTACGGCTGCCGCCAATGGCGTATAGCGGGAAGGGGCCAGATGTAAAGACGTATAGCGTGGTCGGACAGGCCAGGTCGATAACAGCGGAACAGACAGTACAAGATGGTAGGCAAGAATACTCAAGTCACAGGCCGGGTTCAGCAACGGGAGGTCAGGTAATGGAATAAAGCAGAGAATGGTCAGAACGGGCCAAGGGTCAGCGCAAGAGGAGTCTTTGTCAAAGCCGAGTCGGTTTCCAGGAGAGCAACGAGAGCTGAACAAGAGCTTGCTGTAATGCAACATACAGGACATGAATGCAATGAACGGCTGCAACCGACAGACTTAAATGTATTAAGCCGCACCCTCCTGGGAGGAGCTGCAGAGAACTGAGAGCATAAAGGATCCCACAATGCTTAGCAGACACCCAAGATGGATGCCAGCACATGGAGCCACACAAACCGAGGAAATGTAGGACCTTGACACCTGTGTTGTTTACACACAGGTCTCTCCCCTGTCAGCTTTGCACGAGGATCGCCGGGTGTCGGAGGGGAATCTCTGGCCGGGACACGATGAATGACATGCCTAGCTGCCAATACCTGAAAATCTGTAGCAGTAGTTCTACTATAGGGCGTCGGGGAAGCGGTTATTTTAAAAAATGCGCTTAACTGAATAAAAAAAATGTGTTTAAGGAATAAAAAAAAACCTG